ACAGTATTTCTGTGGTCTGAAGCAAAGAACAAGACTGTTCAAGGTATTTTGAGGAGCTGCAGATCTACTCAAAGTTTTAATGAAATGCAGCAAGTTGAAGAGGAGGTGTGGAGTCAGAAGCAAAAGGCAGAATCCATCTAGGTTTGCCTGGAAGAATATGGCGGTAAAAAATAGCATGTGCAAACACTAGATAAACTGGCAAAATGCTAATGTGTATTAGGAGTAAAATAGTAAAATAAAGAAAAATTGGACTGTTCTGTAAAGGCAGGAAAAGAAATAAATGGATATCGATTACTACAATGACACTGAAATAAAATCTAATAAGTAATTAAGACTTTGCACTACGGCATGTGATAGCATTAAGTAAAGGCATGGAAGACTTGTGAGAATACATCATCCATTTGTAGTCAAACATGCACACTGAGTTTTGGAGGAATGTGATGCAGTTAGACCAATGTTGTCGTTTTTGGTAAATGTTAGAGCACACTAGTGGATAGGGTTGGGTTATGATCCCTATGGCATAAAGAGGTTGATACTTCTCATAATCATCCTGTCACTGAAAACTTATCTTTGAAAACTGTTGGAACTGATGTTAAAGAAAATATTGGAACTTAATAAATGTTAAAGTAACCTTCAGATAAGATTATAATATGTATGTCTCAATTAACAACTTCTTTTAATAAGTTTTTAAAATGTCATGGATGAGAGAAAGTTTTGCTATAAGAATGAAATCAGTACATCTACAAGAATGATAAAGCTAAAAACTGTGCATGCATTAAAGCTGGAAAAAGTTATATTGAAATTTTTATCTTCACTGTAAGGGGGACAGTACTTGATGAGCAGCTCTTTTTTCTTTCTTTTAAGTCTATGACTCCAGGTCTTTCTCACCATACACTGTTCTGAACACAAATTTTGTCTTTTTAATAGAGAGTTTTCAGTGGTATTGATAGTGGACATATTAAATTCTAAAATTGGTTCTTGTTGAAGAAATGATGGGGCTTTTTTGTTCATTTTTAGGGTTGGAAATGTTTTCCCTTTTTTTTCATTTTTACACAAGGGAAACTGAGGCATTGTTGTAAGAAGTTTGGCCTGGTTTTGATGTCTGTAGATGAAATCTTTTGAAACACAGTTTCTGGAAACACTTTCAGAGCACATCTATCTTCAAACTCAAAAGTTGTTGCGGTTGTACATACAAAGCATTTCCTGCAGTTTAAGCCCTGTGATTTCAAGTTAGGATGCATTAAATTGGTAAATTTTGAATTTTTTTTGGTTTAGTGAAAAACTGTGGCAGATGCAGAGGTAGAGTCCATTTCTGTCTGAGCGACACAGAGCTAGTTTAGACGGTAAGACAATTGTCTCCTTCATTCACTACCTGTATGATAAGTGAAGCCCTTGCTCCAGTAGCTCACACTGACCCCTTCTCTGCCCTGTGCTGGGTGGATACCTGGAGGAGGCACATCTGCTGCATGTGAGGATGGAATTGTGATTGTGGGTTTAAAGACAGCTGTGTTTGTGAAGGAGACACGCTTAATGTTGCAAGGGCAAACTTCATTCCAAGTGCTCTGAACTTCTGCAGTAATAATCTTAAGCCTGGGGGAGAGCCAGCTCTTTGGTTTTGTTTTGCCTCCCAGAAATATGTTGACAGCCACTGAGTCACTGGTAGATGTCTTCACCTTTAGCTGCACCACATGAGGATTGGGATCTAACCTGAAGGGAGTCAGGAATAGCAGTGGTGACTTGTCACCCCCCATAAGGACCAACTGATGCATAGGATGAGAAATGCTTCCTCACCAAGTCTGTCTTGACTTGGTGAGGAACAGAGATCATAGAACACTCTACTGTTTGTTCTTTCCCTTCGGAGAGAGGAGAGAACAGGCAGCACTGACAGCTACAGTGGGTACCTGTGGATTGTCCCAGTAATTTGTCACTGCTCTCCTAGTCTAGCCCTCTCATATTCAAGTACCTCCAGTCCTTGGTCAAGATTCTTGACTTGCAGTGTTCTCAATAAGTTCTGAGTATGTCCAGGTCCCTTGCTTCCCAGTGACCACATCCCCCTTGATTCCAGTGTTCTGTGAGACACTGCAGCCGTGTATGGATTTACAGCAATATCTGAGGCTCTTCATCTCTCCACCTTTCTGAACTGGGGGGATATCACCTGAGGGAAAGAGGAGTGGCTCACCTGAAGAGAACACAGAGAAGAGTAGTGATGGCAGGCTGGTGAGAAGGAAGGGATGTCCTGGCAGTGAGGCTCACACTCCCAAAACACACACACAGAAGCTCCGCTGCTTGGAGGTCACTAGTCCAAAGGACAGAGACTCTTTGGTCTGTATCCATGTCACCTCCTGACCTTGTTTCCTCCTCTCCCCTTCAGCTCTTTCTGCCTCATTTCTGCCTCCATTGCTTTTTCAACTCATTGTCCCTCTTCCCTTGTCTGGCAAATTCAAGGCAGCCTCCTTTGTAACTACTCTGAAGAAGCCTTGCCCTTCCCCTCACGTGCTCCTGTTTATTCCTTCTGTGCTCCCAGTCCGGTGACATTCAGGTGCTCTTTCTGACAGGGGCACATGTCTTGCCTTTCGTGAATGTCCAGTGTCACCCTGGGAAATTAAAATTCTCTGCCTCAAAGCGTGGTATTCAAGAGGTATTTTCAAGTGTTTTATGCGAGAACATAAACCATGTATTTTTCTGTGACCTCATTCCAAGACATAGCTGAACTATTTCTGCTGAATTTTCCAGAGAATTTCAGCCTCAGGCATACATATGCCCTGGAAAATTTCAGCCTAAATGCTAGAAGTTTGGCAAAGTTTATATGCACCTGAAAGTAGTCTTCATAATGGAAAATGTCAGATTGTTTTAGCTGTCTAGCTGTCTGCATTGTTTATATTTAAGAATTGGATGCAGAAAATACTACACTCAAAATTAATTAAAGTTGAATTTAAGTAAATGTGATTATTGGAGATGAGACGTGTAAATTATACCCTGAAACAGAAGATGGTAGCAATGAAAAGTGCTGTTTGGCTTCATGGGAATCTAATGGAGGAAGCTCAAGAATCACTTTGAACAAGGATTTATTTTTGAGAGGAAGAATATGACAGGTGATGCACAGAACATTAAAACACAGAAATAAACATAGATAAAGTATTGTGGTCTATAGGAGGAAATGTAAGTTGTCCCCTGGGGCCCTATAAGAAGGAATCTATAGTTCATCTGCTTAGCCTTCGTGTTTTTATTTGAAACTGTGGTGAGAGTGCATGATGGCCTAAAAAAAGCCAAAATTGAGAACGTTGTTTTGAATCAGGTGATCTGAAGTGGTTGAGGAACCATTGATTTTGAAAAGTATGAAATATAAATGGTAAATTACCCAGGGACATTAAGTGGCAAAAAATAGAAACTTCTAATCTGGCTACAGAGCAGGAAAACAATAAAGGGAAAATTGCTGAGTAATACTTAACCAAAATTAGCAGTGAATGTGGAATTTGCTATGGAAGCAAAAAAGGGCAGTCCTCTTTTGAAGTGAATGGAGATGTCATGTAAGGAGGAGGTTATCATTTCCATCTCCTCAGGTGTAGTGTGCCCATATTCAGAATACTTTATTAGTTTTGGGTGACATTCCTGGAAAATCGGTATTGGTAATGGTGGAGACAGCCAGGGGAAAAAAAATGAGGTTTGATGGATTTTATTTGCAGTGAGGAAAGAATAATAGTTCATTAAGCAGTGACTGCTTTGGAAAGGGCATATTTGGATAGGAACAAAAAAAGTAGTGTGTTAGTAGTACAAGCAGCATAGATGAGCAGAAACAGGGATGGGAGTGGGAAATGTTAGTTATTGTCATAAGAACTATTACATCAGAATGTAATTGCCAGAAAGGACTTGAAGAGGCCGTATTACATAGGAGGTTTTAAAATTAAACTGTTCAGCAGCGTGCTGCTGGAGAATATGTGCAAAATGTGCTGCAGGAGGGAATCCTGCTCCTGGTGGGAGGGTGGGCTGGCTGGGTGAATTAATAGGTCTTTTTTGGGGGGGAGGGAGGGGGAGGGAGCAGGAGAAGAGGGTATGTACCACTTTCATGAAGATGAGATTGTGATAGGCCTTGTGAAAGCTTCACCCCACATTCTTCCATGAGTCTAACCAGAACTCAGGAATTAAAAAATGGATGTCATATTAACAATACAGGGCTGCACTTCACGAAGTATGGTATTTTTTCTGGCTCAGTTAATTCTCAGTAATAAAACATGAGAGTAATACTACACAATGGTTGACACCTGTCCTGAAACTCTTACAGGGCTTGGTAAGTGCTGCCAAAAAGTCTAAAAATAAAACTTCCCTCCCTTACCTCCCTTCCCCCTCCATCACTGGTTGCAGTTTGGATTTTCTGTGGTCTATTGAGGAGGCAAATAAACTTTCACATAAAATGTAGGTTATGACTTGCTTTTTGATCTGGAAACTTATTAGTGTGTACAAAAGCAACAGGAAAATGCTGAAATGCAGTGTTCTGTATGCATTGCACTTCTTGGAAACTTACTTTTCTTTCCAGCTTCTCTTGTTTTTTGATGTGAGAGAGCAGACATTTTCTCAAGGTTAAATGGTTTGTCCACTGTTTGTGTCTGTCTTGATATATATGTTTTTATTTTATTTTTGTTTTAACGTTTAGGTCAGTGATGCTAATCAGTGTGCAGCAGTATATTTAATTATTTCTTAAGCTGAAATTTTTTGGGCAGTTTTTCTCCTTTCAGTCTGTATAGGTAACAGCCTCAAGTTTGAGTGAAAAATATTTTTTTAAGTTGTTTTAAATGGACTGGAAGTCCAAAACTTAATATTCAAAACCTCATCTAATTAATCAGAGAAGCCCAGGGTATGGTACTTTGCCAGTTTGTACATCAAGTCAATATTTGATGTATAAAGCATTGAGAAAACACATGTATGATTTGCCCGCAGTGAGCGTGACGATTCTGACCTTTTTCTTTGCATGTCTTAAATATTGCTTTGCTTGTGTTTGCCAACAGGGCAGTCCGATGGATCCGATGGTGATGAAGAGGCCGCAGCTGTACGGCATGGGCAATAACCCTCACTCTCAGGCACAGCAGAGCAGCCCCTACCCCGGGCAGTCCTACGGCCCTCCCGGCCCCCAGCGCTATCCCGTGGGAATGCAGGGCCGAGCCCCGGCAGCCATGGGAGGAATGCAGTATCCACAGCAACAGGTTTGTGGAGGATTTTTCTGGGTTGCTTTGGTTTCCCTCCTCTCTTTCTCTTCCCTCCTGACATTCCGGTAATACAGAGAGTGCAAGAGAAAAACCTCAGAAATAAGTATTTCTTGAGCAGAAGGAGGATGAAGGACTGTTTTAAAACTAAATAAATTATGTTCACAGTGTGAATGTTTTCTGAAATCCTTTACAGTTCAAACAGGATTTAGTTTGTTGCTGGTATCTTTCTGGAGAGAGAAGTATGTCAAATGCCATGAATTTTTTTTTTTTTTCCAGTTGACACCACTTAGCCCTGCATATTTTTTGGTTCTTTTCTTTGCTGTTGTTCTTGGTTTTCTAGGGGTTTTTATGTTCTCTTTCTCTCCGGCTTACATGCACTTAAGTGTAAGATGAAAACCTAGAGCTGACATCAGCACATCAAGGCTAGTGTAGTCCAGTGCATACAAAAGCGTTACATATTTATATCAGCTGTTTGTTGTTGTGGTGGCTGGTTTTCTTTTTTCTCCTTGTTTTGATAGGAGTCTGTAGCTTTTCCTAGTTTTTTTCTCTTACCAACTCTTTAAAGTCAGGATTTTTTTGAATGTATCAGAGTATATAGAACGGTAAGGATCTCCTTTTTATCTACTTGGATTTCACTGTTGATGGAGACCTCTTGTGCTTTTTTCCTGCCCTTTTTAAGAAGGTCAATCTTAATGTGCATACCATGTACTAAAGAAAATACAGCAGTTTTCAAGAGGGAGAGATAAACCGAGGTTATCAAGAAGTTAATGTTTTGCTAATTTTTTTTCTTTTTTTTAATTAGGGATGTGAATGTAGGCAGTGAGAGCTCTACACCGCCTTGTGAGCACAACAGATTAGTAACTTGATCATTAATGGGAAAGAACATTTGTTTTGTGCAACTTCCCAGTTACAGATTAGCTTTTTTAATGTCGTTTATTGTTAAATATAGAAATTAAAATTTTGGACTCTTGGCGGATAGGTGCCTGGCCAATTCTTGTTACTACCCATCCAGTAGGACAAGATGTTAATCAGGCAGTTAATTAAATAACAGTTTCAAATATATTATAATATCATTAGTACAATGATATTAATTTTTATTCTTTTCTGCTGTTAAATAGATATTTACTGATAAGGAAGGGATTATTTAGTTTAGAGATGCCAAACATTAGATTTGGTTGCTAGATTCAGGCAGCAAAGCATTTTGTCATTTGCAAAAGGGAGGAGATATCAAATAAAGAAGGCCTTATTTTTCTGTGTGTCTGTAACCAAAGTGAAGTTATTAAAACACATTTTTCATTTAAATAAGAGTTACTCTGTGTTACGCGGAGATGAGTGTTGAATTTTCAGTGCATTTGCTAATTGCTTGGTAATTGTAAATTACCCGTCAGCAGGCAGTGTCCTGGCAGCGCCATTGGCTGCTGGCCCCATCCATCTCCTCGCAGCGCTGCCGTAAGTGGCTGAGCGGCAGCGCCGGCCCGAGCACCAGAGCTCTTCGGGGAAAAAGGGACAGGATAATTATGACATTGAATTTTTATTGAACGGACATCACCACCTAGGCATGATTTTGTTTTGGACAGCCTCCAAAGCTTCGTGTGTTTGGTTTGTGAACCTCTAATGATCTGAATCCAGTTCTTTTCATATTGCTCATATATTACCACCTTGCTACAAAGGATTAAAATGCAGGAATGCAGGTTTGTAAATTGAATTGCCAACTTACCAGCTGAGTGGTAAGTTGTCTTTGGCACAGGATGCCACAGTTTGATTCCTGGCTGGATTTTTATTCCTGTGACATGAATATTAAATAAGGAGAGCCTAGCTACGCTTGTTAAGACTGTGTAGCACGTACCTACTTTAGATACCATATATATATATATATATATATAATATATAATATTGCCAGAAGTTTCAGAAGATGAATCTCAGCACTTTCTGGAAATTGGACTGCTTTACAGTGTCACATTGAATTTATCAAAAGCGTAAGGCACTTCCAAAAATTTGATTGGTTAAAAAATACTGGGCCTTAAACACATGCCGTGCTCAGATTTAAGTATTGTGCGGAGATAGCACTGAGTAGATGGATTATGAGGGTGGAAGTGCCACACTGTAGGAAGGGTGGGAAGCATCAATGGGGGAGATTGTTCTTATTTTAAGTTATAGTTTGCTGTTGCCCAAAGACAGCTGAGGGTGTCAGCTCTGTTTCCTTGGATGAAACAAGAAGGCTTTTTGTTAAACTGTGAAGATTTTTGAATTTTGAAGAAGACCTTGAAATGTTAAGTCTGGCTCTTTGTCAGCAAGTGGTGTGGCTTAAGGTTAGAACTATGGGACTTGACAGATTTTAACTTGCAGGCTCTGCTGCAGAATGCTGCAAATGAAGAAATAAAGATGAAAAACAACACCCTAAAGATTGAGCTAAAATTAATGAAAGTGGTAGAATTGAAGATAATTGCCTAGATGTAGTTAGCTGGTCTGTGTCATATTGCAGCAGAGAATAGTGTGTTCCAGCCTGCAGCCCAGAGGTGGAAGAGCTCTCTCTCAGGAAGGGAGGCCTCTGGCATGAGCACTAAAAGATTAAAGGGGATGAAAAAGATGAAATATTATCAGGTGCAGTCAGCCTACGTATCTGCAGCATGTGTGTCAAGCACAGCCTGCTAACCGGTCTTAAAAGGGGTATCTATGAAATGCTGCAGACGTTCTCTTACAACTGCTGCTTGGTCTAGACATGCTTGACACCAAACATGAAGGTGCAAATAAACCCCCAGATTTTCTTAAAATTCCGTGTGGAAACTGCAGGATGTTGAAATGACTGTGGAAGGTATGGGGGATTTATTCTGCAAAGGACTGAAGAGAGAAAGCAGATCTCCTAAGTGAGTTTGGAACTCATCTCATATTGGTGATGAGACCCAGCACAACACACTGAGCCTTACATAAGGGGCACAATTTGAAATCCAGGCAATATCTTTACGCTAATGCAGCTAAAGATAAAGGGGTCTAGATATCGAAATGGCCATATAGAAACGGCAGGTTGATTGTGATAGAAGTAAATGGTAAATGGATTTTCTCTTTCTTTTCTGACAGTTAACAGCAGAGGTACAGATTTGTCAGGTGAAGATGGGTGATAGCCTCCTGGGACAAAGTGCTAAGCAGTTTGAAGACTGCTGCAGCATTTTGTAAGATTTTAAGGGCATGTCCAGTTAACTCAGTCTGAGTCAAATAAATACATAAGGCATTTGCATGGATTTGACGCCTGTATAAGAGGGAAGGTATGAGAAAGGAAGGTGATACAAAAAGAGTCATATGCTTTATTTATAGGATTGCAGACTTGACATATCACTTACCAGGATGCATTAATATGGAAAATTAATTATTTAGAGATTTTTATGTTGTTAGGAAACTTGGGATTTTGTTTCTTTCCGTTCCCCTTCACTGGGAGAAGAGGGGAAGAAGGCAAGGGAAAGCTGGGAGCAAGATGACCTGTGCCTGTGCTGTCAGTCTTCATGAATGAAACAAAAGTTGCAGCAAGGCTTTAAAATACTGTTCTTGCATTTAAGTCTTAATATTGGTATCTCATAATCTCATGAACTCTCTCTCCTGGTTTGCATGGGGTAAATGTAATTTTTGGATTATTAGCACTCCTTACCCAGGGAACGTATGTAAAACCAAAAAGCAGAAAAATATTTTTTCAGATTTAGCTTGCAGTTTTTAATATCTTAGATATCACTTAGAATTACAAAGAGATGATGTCAAAATTGAAAATCCTAATATGCAAGGGTAGCTAGCACCTGAAAACTTCAGGCTTGATTTTGCAATACATCTCACTATGAGTGAAATACTATCTGAGTAATAAGATCTGATTATAAAGACAATAACTTGCTTTTCGTTTAACTTCTTTTTTGCCTCACACCCTTTTTGGACCTCAGTCAAGAAAGTGATGATGCCATGATCAGTTCCTTCTGGCTTTAGTTTGATTGCCCTGTCAAAGTGCTTTAGTGCTGTGTGCTGTAGGAAAACCTTCTGCTGCTTTGTAAAGACATGTTTGCTAAAAATAAAAAGACCTCAGAATACCAGTCAAAATAAGGGGCTTTTTTCTCACCAGTGGTGTTGCTTTTTCATGATAATAGCATGCAGTATTTTATTTTGTGATGAATTTCATTAAGCTTAAAAATCATATACTTGAAATATTCACTTACAGGTTTTTAAAGTTTTTATCAAAGTTTGAAGGCTTGGATTTATGAAAATATTTGAAAGAACTGAATGGTGTGATGTGCCTGTTTAATCAGATGATCATTGCCTAACTGATTTTTTTTTTAGCATGCATTAAAATTCCTTGTGTACTTGATGGACTGGAACAACAACTTATTGTGTAAATAGGATCGTGTTGCTATAATGCATAGTAAATTCTTTATGAAAGATATTTGCATGGATATGTACAACAGCCATTCCTAATAGCTATTTAAAATGGAACATTTCAGTGCTGATCATGTAGTTGCCTTAGTGCCTTGAGCCTTCTTGCTGCAAAGTTATGAGGCCTGAGCCTCAGTCTATTCTTTCTCCTTTTATTTTTTTTTTGTATAGAAATACTGAGATTAAAGGGTCCTAATCACTTGTCCCTTTAACTTATTTTCATGTTCTTGATTTGCAGAATTCAAAACCAAATGTTATCAGTGTCCTCACTGTTTTAAGAATGGAGCTGTAGATATTCAGAGAAGTACTCATTCCATTTCCTCCCTTTTTTTGATATACAGATTATTTTGAGGTGTAAGGAACAAAGTTGTAAAACCTCTAGGAATATGTAGCAAGAATTTATTGTAATGGAAAGTGCAAATAAACCAGAACTATAGCAGCATCAGTGTGATTACATAATTTAGGAAAGGGCTTACAGTGCCCGTATTGGGTAATGTCCCAGGTTGGAAATGTCGAGTTTATGCCAAGGAAATCAGTTGGCTGTTGGCTTGGCAGATACAGTTTTAAAGCTAGCAAACACACATGTTTACTCCTGG